GGTATATAAATTCAAATAATAATAATAGTAATAATTTATTATTTAGGTTTTGTTTTCTATATAGCTCTGTTTTATATAGAACTGTTAATTCACGATACTGTTGAGTTTTCATTGTGAAAACAGCCCTCCCAAAGTTGACTTCTATATTTTCAATTGGCACGTTTATGTGACTTGCTATCAGAAGAGTTGTGTGTGGTGGACCTGCCGTGTCCCTCTTTAGGAAAGAAAGGGAATAATTTTGTACGTTATCCACATCTGCATACTAACGTGATAGATGTTGGGATATGGGCGAGCACTGTAGGGTCTTTTGGACTGGAGTATCTGGGGCACATTATGCAAGCCAACAACACTGACTAGCACAAACCTGAATCATAGAATTGTAGAGTGGGAAGGAAATTTCTCGTTTTTTCAGGGCCTAGAATTCTGCTTAGCCCAGGATGCCACCAACGAACAAAACAAAAACAAAAAAACTGTATAATTTCCTTAGTGTAACACTCACTTAAGATATGTCAGATCAGTGTGAAATGTACCAATGAGAACTATCATCCTCTTACTCCATACTAGCATTGTGACATGGAGTTTAATCTGTCAAAAACGTTCATAGAATGGGTTGAAAAAAGCTGCTTGTAACTACATTCTAGCTATCCTGACAATGAATATGAAACTGAACTGTCTGATCCTATGTAGAAGCAGGTGTATCTAAGCCCAATGGATTCGGGTTACAGAATTGGATATGGGAATAGGATTTTCGTCCAGAATAGTTTCACTTCTTCAGATTGAAAATATTTGTGTAACATTCTTTTTCTGCTTTTCATATCCTTTGTAGACTGACTCAGGTCAGATGGAGCCGATACAGTCCCGTTTATCTTGAACCAGAAGTGAACAAAGAAGTGTATCATAAACTTCCAGAACAAATATCAGATGAGGAAAAAGCCAAATTGGAACTCAAAAAAGTCAGACCTATAAAAGCCACCGCTTCCAATGTCACCAGCTCTGTATTCTATGATCCACTGATCAGGTCTGAATGCTGCCATACTTGATTGAATCTCGTCTTTTTGCCTATGTCTATCTCTTAACAAAGAAATCTCATTGATTTCATAATGTAGTTGGCCAAAGTATATTGGATAGTTGAAATAGCCAGGGAGTACAGCATCAAAATGTCCTAAAGTACTGGGGCTTAATGTGTAGTGATTTATTATAAAATAGACCAGTCTGGAATACTCCTGCTGGCTGCTGTTGGACACAGGATGCTAGATCTGAACTGTGTTCTGACTTTGACGGTTCTTACTTTCTTTGCCAGTTAGGGCTATAGGCTATTTGTACTGGTTTGCTTTCATCACCAAGTACCACCATGTGGGGAAGAAAGATTTGGCACCTTTACCAGAGGGCACTGTGGGGAAGCAGAAACATAGATGTGCTGGGTTGAAGAACCGCCCATTCCAGATGTCACTATCTGTTTCTGAATTGGGTGCTGCTGCCACCCATCAGCAGCCACATGCCTGCACGATGCCCTGTTGTGATGTAAAAGTAAAGATACCGTGCAACAGCACTAAGTGGCAGAAGCAGCAAACTGCCACCGATCTCTTGATCTTCCTCTCTAGGAATGTGCCAGGTGGATCAAAGGCATATAATGAGAAACTGATACTTTCCCCCAAAAACTCCATAAATGTTGGAATGCTTGAACAGTGTAATGGCAGAGTTTCGTTGCAGGAGTCTTATGCTATGGTGCTGATAACAGGAATGCCATTTGTTTTCTCATTACAGCAAATTCACTAGCATGATGATGAAGGGAGGAAATAAAATTTTGGCCCGAAACATCATAAATCAGGTAAGTTAACTTCTCAGGTTTCTGCTACTTTCCCCCCACTCCACCCCCACATTAATGTCAATGTGACAAAGAGTATTCCCATTTTAAAGGCCATATATATTTATTTAAAGGCCATATTCCTTAGTCCTTTCATCCTTGTTCTCATTTTCAGCATCTCCACAGCTCTTTAATCTCCCTCCTGTTAGAGGCCTTGCAAACAGAATGACAAATCTTGCAGTATCGCAGATTATATGTAACATCTGTCATTCCTTATGGAAAGGGGAAGTGCTGTAGGTGTGCAATTATTGTGAAATTTGTCTTTCAGCCTTAAATTCAGTCTAGACCAGGAACTTTCAGCTTTCTTTAAGGTCCCTTGGGTTAGTTATAACATTTTTTTTAAATTGCAGAAAATGTCTGCTAGTGGCTCTGAGGCTTGAGAGTGTCTGGGCCAGATTTCCAGTAGTCATGAAGGAATTTTATATATGTATAAATTGAACTCTTGACTGAAAAAGCCCTCAAGGGCTTGGGTGCCACATGCAAGGGTAACATGCTGTGGTTGTGTCAATATTATTGCTAATGGAGTTTTTCACAGGAGACAACGGGGGCTTTATTTTTAAGTGGTTTTTCCCCTCAATTAAGACTTTAGAAGCAATCAAGAGGAAGCAGCTTGAGAAGTACCATAAAGCGGAAGAGAAGGAAAAAGAAAACATTGAGTGCAATCCATACACTATCTTCCACCAGGCACTGAGCAACTGCCAGCCTGTCATTGGGCTGATGACTGTCCAGAAAGGAGGCAAAAACTACCAGGTAAGCAAGAAACTAATGATCTAGTGCAGGCGAGATGACCCTTCAGCCTCCAGATGTTCTATCCCTCATGATAGGCTATGCTTGTTGGGGTTGACTGAAGTTGTAGTTCAGCAACATCTGGAGGGCAAAAAGGTTCCTCATGCCTAATCTAAAGCAGCCCTGGCTTGTTGGCTTATCTTTTCCCCAAAGTAGAACCATTGCTATCATTAAGTATCCATAGCAGTCCACAGTTCCAGGGACTTCAACTTCCACCCATGTAGCCTCAGTTTCGGACTTTGCTCTGTTGCAGTTGGCAGTGAAACAATATAAACTGTATTACTTGCGCTGGTTTCATTTATTTTGATAGGAACATTCTATAGCATAATCAGACCCTTGGAATTTTTCTTTTGAATCGCTTTGAAACTTGTATTATGTGATCCCCAGCGACCTGTAATATCCTGCCTATACGTGAACTTGAAACTTCTTGAGAACATCAGGTTTTAGTTTGAAAAGCTTAAAAGTTTGCTGAAAAAATATTGGAAATGGGTTCTGAAAGGTTCAGCAACCAGAGGGTACAAGATAGGGACAGAAACCAAGAAGCAGAGTGGAGTGGCCACCTCTAGCAGCTCACTTGCTGTGTTATGAAAGGACTATTGTTAGCTATTTTATTTATTAACGCTAGGAGCAGGGAAGGTGCTTGCAGGATTTTCTGCCTCAAGTGCCACAATAACTTGGTTGGCCTGGGGTACCATATAATTTGATTTTGTGGGGAGGGAACCTTTTGCTGCACTGCCTCAGGCAGCAAAGTGCCTTAGGTAGGCCAGCCCCACTGAGTGCCTTCAAACCATTTCTTGTTTTGCAACTTTTGCTCGCCAGCTTGGCAGCCTTGATTTTCCCGCTGAAGTTGTTATCTAAAAATATCCAAAAGTTTTGCAAGTCAAATAAACACATTCAGGGTACTTAAGTGCTCCTAATTCTGTGCTAAATAAATTCTATTTATTTTAGATTTTATACCACCCTTCATCATAAGATCTCAGGGCGGCTCGCAGAACAGAATACAGGATAAAAACAGTATAAATTCAATATAAAGTTATGTTAATCTCTGATGGGGTTTGTTTGTTTTTGCCTCTTGCAGGTCCCAACCCCTTTGTCAGACAACCGCCGACGCTTTTTAGCCATGAAGTGGCTGCTCAGGGAATGCAGGGAAAACAAACACAGGCGGACATTTATGCACCAAAAGCTTTCCGAAGAGCTTCTGGCTGCCTTCAGCAATGAAGGACCTATCATAAAGAAAAAGCATGAGTTGCACAAGATAGCAGAGTCTAACAGAGCCTTTGCTCACTACCGGTGGTGGTAGAGAATGGCAGCTGCAACATGTGAGGTCTGAGACTTTGCTACAAGACAAGGAAGGGAAATATATCCCATATGCCTTCCTTTGCATAGCACCAGCCTGGAAGGGCGATAATCCGGTTTCTCAACTGGCCCTTTGAAAAAAGAAACGACCTGAAGAAAATCTTAGCCGAAATAAAATGCCTCATTTTTCTGACTTGCATAAATTAAAAATCCTGTTTACTCCATTTTCAGGTGACCTTGTCAGTACTGGGTCCTGTGTATATGCATCTTGGTTTCTCTAGTCTCTTTTGAGACAGAGGGTTTTGTTCACAATACAGAATGACCTAGTTAGCATCAAAGCAGTCTTCAGGGGGATTGTAAGAGAGGTTACAATTCTGTACTCCTCAGCAATGGCTTTTGGCAGCATGCTAGGCTGAAGTAGAACCAGGCTGAAAATTAAGTTGTAAAAGATTGAAACTACATCCTAGTCTTCTCCTTGCATGTCTCGTGAATGGTCTTTCTCTACAGTGCCTTTGGGCCATTGGTTAGTTGACACTGGCATGTGAGAATGAATGAACAACTAGCTTAATATTGATCTCACTTAAAGTGTGCTTAACTTCAATATGTGGTATGAATAGCTTTCCTTTGGCTTGATTCACACATGCCTATTCATCACATGCTTAAAAGTTTTATTTGCAGTATCTTACCTAAGATGGCCCATAGAATTATGTGAGCCATCATTTGATGTTGCAGTCATCAAATAAGGAACATACATGAGAGAACAGCCCTTAGAGGAAGCCATTTCCAAAGAACAGCCTCTGTATACATCATAAAGCATCCTTGCAAATAAATTCACAAAAGTTATCTCCCCCCATTTTTTTTTACTAGCTCCCCTGACTCCATAATACATATTCTGACCTAGAAAAAAGAAAGCGAAAGAACCAACTTTGATAAAAAACCTCTGCCAGGTCACCTAGAGACAATTCTTGTTTGCCATAAGCAACTAGACAAGTGATTATTTATAACTCTACTATTAAACAGCTTTCTGTTTGATGGATGGCAATGAGAGACTATATGCAGAAGTGTAAAATGTTTATTTTTAAAAGTTCCAAAGAGAACCAATCTTAACAAATGTACAATACTGTTGTTCAAAGTTGCTGTTGTATAAAAGTTACAAAATCAGTTTCTAGCTACATGTTCCCAAGGGAATAATTCTGCTGTGGAGTGAGGCTTTCGAACAGTGTTGGCTTCACACCTCCTGCAGGGAGAAGGCACTGCCTTTAGCTGTTAGCTACACCTGAGCTGGCCGGCAGTTGGGAAGAAAGGAGTAAGAGCATATTGGGTGCTGCAGGTTAGAAAGCAGTTGAGCATCCTTCTCCTGCAGCTACGGAAGAATCAATATACTCATGAAAGCATCCTGTCAGAAAAGAAAGTGCTGGTTAAGTGTCAGGGTTTGGACCCTGGCATGCTGTTTCAAAATTATTAAGCAGCACACATGGAGCCAATAACTGGGCACCAATCTTTACAATACTCTTGTGAATAAGCCACACCACAGTCATGAATTTGTCCCCTGACCTCAGGAGAACATTGTGGACATAATAAGAGCCCTGTTGGATCAGATCACAATCCTATCCAGTCCAGAATTCTGTTCCCATGTGCGGCCAATTGGCTGCCTATGCAAAGCCCATAAGCAGGAAATGGATCATGATAGCACTCCCCCCTCTTGTATTCCTCTGCAATTGGTATTCAGAGGCAATAAATAGCCATCATGGCTAGTAACCACTGACAGCTTTATCATGAATGAGTCTAATCCCTCCTTAAATACATCCAGGTTGGCACATCTTTGGGTAGGGAATTCCATAATTTATGTACTGTGCGAAGGAAGCCTTCGTTTTGTCTGTCCTGCCTCTCCTACCCTTTAGCTTCTTTGGGTAACCCTGGGTTGTAGCATTACATAGCCTCTTTAAGAATCTAAAACCCTAAGCAAATTTAACAGGGCTGTTATTATGCAGCCAATAAGCAGAGAGAAAGACTGCCCCTCTCCCAATCCTAAATATATTTTCTTGGAAATAGGGCCCCTTGATTCTGATAGCATATACTTCCACGCTAAGTGAGACGCAATCAACCCAGCAAAGGCCTCCTGGGGTTGTCTTATTTCAGACTGCCGGTTGGGGGTGACATGACTGAATGCTCTTCTTCAAAAAAAACCTTGCTTTTGCAATGCTAGCATGGCAAAGAGAAGAGTTCCAGGCTTGCCCTGCCATGCTACTTTGTGTGTTCAGGGAGGGGTAGTCTAACTGCACCAGGGAGCATTTTAAAGCAGTCCAGTTCTGAACCACCTATCAATGAAATTGGTGTTATACACCTAGAATTGTCGCTTCCAGGTGTATTATTTTCCTATGACAAAGGAAAGGGAATAAAACATTTTTTCAAATTGCACCATTGTTTGTGAGAACAATGCATACTGTTTTTAATACTAATCTGTCACAAAAGTATTTCCACCCCTGCGTGCATGCTAGAAGTAAAAAATCTGCCTTTAAAAAAACAACAAGGAGTAGGACAATAAAAGAGAAGGTCTCTGTTGTAGGTTGTTAATAGAAGAACTAGTACCTGAATGAGCCACCTTTCTTTGATTTCAGAACAGTGGTAAAGTTTCTGATACCCCTCGTGCCTCATAGTGAGTGCATGTAAACAGAGAGCAAACGAGGCTCCTGAAAGCATCCAAAATGGGTTTACAAGGCAGGAAACTGAAATGCCACGCTTGGGCTTTGATTACAGAATCACCTTCTCAACCAAAGGGCAAACAGAACAGCTATGGAACAGAGCACAAAATAACAAACTGCCACATGCTGCAGAGGGAGACAGATTCTTAGGCTTACTGTGCTTTTGGAGTAAATAATGTTATCACTAGGCTGGTTTTAAACCATAGCCTTTTTTGTTTTAAGGCTGAATACATTAAAATTAGCATATACACATAAGCTTCTCGTAGAGAACGACCCTGTGTCAAATGTCAGTCCAGCTTGCGGCAGTGATTAATACAGGTTCCTATTTAGTGCAACACGATGGGAGCGGCGGTGGCAGAATGCGACCCTTTTCTCCTCTCCCAGCTCCCCAATTTCAGCCAGCGCAAAAGATCTATCGAGGGAGCAAGTTATACATTCTATATACAAAAAGTGCTAGGGTTCAGGTGGGGGGGAGGGAAGTATTAAAAATAATTGCAGCTTTGTTGTTGTTATGTGAAGTTTGCTGGTGCAAAGGTTCAGAGTGGAAATTCAAACTCTGGCTTTGGGCAGCATGAGCCAGGGTGAGCAACTGGCTGCTCAATCTGCGACCTCACTGTAATAGTACTTCTGGGCTGCATCTGTCATTTTCCAGTCGGCAGCCCGGAACTCAATGATCTCAAGCAAGAGTAGCTGGGAAAGGGAGGTAAGGCCCTCCTCCAGGAGGAAACCGTCTCGCAGGAGGGAAAAAAGCTCATCCATCCTCTGCGTGTTCATCTTCTCAAGTTGTTCACCAATGCGGTGTAGCTGCAACACCAGACAGTCCACCTTAATGGAAGGAAATGAAAACGCTTCTGTTAAGAATCGGGGTGGTTGGGTGGTGCTGCACAGAAATGTCTCATGTTGGCATCCTGGCACTAAATCAGAAGAAAAGGGGGGAAAATAAAGTAGGCTGCTAAACCGAACCTTGGGCTGCATTTTTTGTGATTTATTGCATTTTGGTTGTGTTCTTTGGATGTGCTTTAATTTCTTGTCTATGACTACTTTTGTTATATTTGTAATTAACTATTGTTTTCGTGCTGCAAGATGCCTTGAGCATGATTTTAATTATGGAGAGGCAGCATGCAAATAAAATGATGGTTGGGTGGATGCAGTATTTTTTTCCTTTAAAAAAAAAAAAACCTTTAGGGGTACTCTCACTTTGACTCAAGGAAATCACCATTTTATCGTTCAAATCGGGGAAAATATATTCAGTAAATGGACAAAAGTACAAAGATTCACAAAATGTTTAGGGGTATGCGTCCCCCCAGAAAAAAGCACTGGGTGGGTGGGTGTAGAAACTAGCCTACTATACAAAGGGAAAATTTGCATTCATTGCTCCAGGCTTAAGAAAGATTCCCACCCCTGGCCTAAAAGTTGTACACCTTCCAATCCTCTTTCCCAGGTGCGTTCTCACAGGACAGCAACCTGCTTTTGTCTCCACTGTGCCCTGAGAATACAGTGGTACCTCTAGATACGAACGGGATCTGTTCCAGAGCCCCGTTTGCATCTAGAGGTAAATGTAACTAGTGACGGTACGTCTGCGCGCGCAAGTGCGCATCGCTTTTCGTCGCTTCTGCGCATGTGCAAGCGGTGAAACCCGAAAGTAATGCACTCCGTTACTTCTGGGTTGCCAAGGAGCGCAACTCGAACGCGCTCAACTAGAAGCATATTTAACCCGAGGTATGACTGTACTCGGGACGCGGGTGGCGCTGTGGGTAAAAGCCTCAGCGCCTAGGGCTTGCCGATCGAAAGGTCGGCGGTTCGAATCCCCGCGGCGGGGTGCGCTCCCGTTGCTCGGTCCCAGCGCCTGCCAACCTAGCAGTTCGAAAGCACCCCCGGGTGCAAGTAGATAAATAGGGACCGCTTACTAGCGGGAAGGTAAACGGCGTTTCCGTGTGCGGCTCTGGCTCGCCAGAGCAGCGATGTCACGCTGGCCACATGACCCGGAAGTGTCTCCGGACAGCGCTGGCCCCCGGCCTCTTGAGTGAGATGGGCGCACAACCCTAGAGTCTGTCAAGACTGGCCCGTACGGGCAGGGGTACCTTTACCTTTACCTATGACTGTACTCACCTCTTCCTCTTTCCGCAGGCTCTCTGGCTGTGCCAGTCGGAACAGGCAGTCGTAAACTGGGTTCACCAGTGCCATCATGGGCATGTTATTGACCTGTGAAATAGGCAGGGTGCACTTGTCAACTATCGCTCAGAATCACTGTGGAATTGTTAGAGAGCCCCTCCCTGTATGTGTGTGTCTTAAAAATCCCAGGAAGGTAGCTGTGCCTGCTAAGTCTCTTGAAACAAGAACAAGCAAGAGCATCTCTGGCACCTTAAAAAAACTGTCACAAATACACAGCCTAGAGCCCTTTTGCATCAGATGCATGATTCCTTGACATCCCATCAGATGTCAAGGAAATAAACAACTATCCGACTTTTAGAAGACATCTGAAGGCAACTCTGTTTAGGGAAGTTTTAAATGTTTGAAGTTTTATTCAGGTTTTTTTTATGTTCTGTTGAAAAACGCCCAGAGTGGCTGGGGAAACCCAGCCAGATGGGTGGGGTAGAAATAATAAATTATTATTATTAAAATTATTATAACAAGAAGGACCAAACTGCAAGGACCCCCATGGCAGGCTGCTTCTTAAAGCTGTCCTGCTGCTACATCTAGACCATGAACCTTTCGGACTGCAAGAAGAATTTCTGTACAAGTGACAAATGTAAAGAACACCCAGTTGCACTCATTTGAATTAAGGCCTCCTGTGGCAGCCCCATTTCAGGTGCATGCCCCAGATGTGGAATGCTTTCCCCACAGAGGTTGCCAGGCACTCACCTTATCATCCTTTGGGTGCCAGGCAAATGCCTTTTTACTTCCCCCAAAGTATTTTAGATGCACATTTAATTCCGTTCAATGTTTTATGCTGCTTTTTTCAATCTTGCTGGAATGAATGGCAGCATTAAAACAAAAACAAAAAACAACCCTAAACACAACCACATTCCCTCATTATGAGAGCAGCACATGATCTAGCCCCAGGTCTGGATAATACAGTGGATGCTTGGGTTGCGAACGTGATCCGTGTGGGATGCACGTTTGCAACCCGCAGCGGCGCATCTGCGCATGCATGGGTTGCGATTTGATGCTTCTGTGCATGCATAAAGCGCAATTTAGCACTTCTGCGCATGCGCGACCGTCGAAACCTGGAAGTAACCCGTTCCGGTATTCCAGGTTTCGGTGCGCCCGTAACCTGAAAAAACGCAACCTGAAGCATCTGTAACCCGAGGTATGACTGTACACCAGTTCTGAAGTTTGGTCTTACCCTCAGGTAGTCAAAGATGTTACAGATAAAAGTGACATAGCAGATCCAGGCCTGGAGGGAACGGGCTCGCAGTTCATCCCGGTCTTTATACTCCTGCTGAAGTCGGTTGAGGAGCCCCCGCCGAAAGACACTCTGGCCCACCTGTTTGCTCTCCGCCTGCGACAAAGGCAAAGAGGTGAAGCGCCAGAAGGATGCTGTGTGCAATCTCAGCTGTGGCAGCAGGCTGTCTGGGCTTATCTCTCTCTTTCTCTTTCTCTTCCTCTCATGCTTCAAAACACACCACCGTGCAGAAAAAGTTATGGCACGATGAAGCAGGAGCCTATAGGTGCAAAAAAGTTCAGAGGGGAGGCAAAACCGAGACAGGTCACTAATGGGAGTTTTGCTCACCACGTCTGGTCTGGAGTTGAAGGGATAGATTCACCTTCTTGCCCTCTCACAGCTGGGCTGGGCACCCAAAATATTCAGCAGGGCAGGCCAAACCAAGCTCCATCTGCAGGAAAGGAAGCATGGCTGGTGGTAGAGCCAAAGTGAACAGCATGCACATCTAGAATGGCTTTTATGCAACCTACAGGCTCCTTTTGTATATCCCTAACAGATATATACATACAGTGGTGCCCCGCAAGACGAATGCCTCGCAAGACGAAAAACTCGCTAGACGAAAGGGTTTTCCGTTTTTTGAGTCATTCCGCAAGACGAATTTCCCTATGGGCTTGCTTCGCAAGACGAAACGTCTTGCGAGTTTGTTTCCTTTTTCTTAAAGCCGCTAAGCCGTTAATAGCCACTAAGCCACTAAGCCGTTAATAGCCACTAAGCCGCTAATAGGCGTGCTTCGCAAGATGAAAAAACCGCAAGACGAAGAGACTCGCGGAACGGATTAATTTCGTCTTGCGAGGCACCACTGTATATATATATATACATATATATATACACACATATATATGTTTATGTATGTGTGTGTATATACACACATGCACGCACACACACACAAGTTTTCCCGCAGCCTCTTCACTATGTTTTCTTGGGAAAACTCCCCAGCCCTCTGGACTTGTAGAAAATATTATTTCATGTTGAGTTCTTGCTTTAACAAAAAATCAATAATGATGCAGTAATGTCGCTTCCCTCTGCTCTCACCCACCTACGTCTCATCCTTGCACCAACCATGCTGGAGATACAAAACAAGAAAAGCAAAAGAGAGGGCAGGAACATCTAAACAAAAACTGACTAAGAGATGGTGAGATGCATTTTTTAAATCACTTGCAGCAATGTTGGCCTCCCCTTGCAAGACCACTTAGATCATATGGAAATTTTACCAATGGCATCACACCCTACAAAGTATCACTGGGGGTGATCCCAAAAGGGTGAATTTCTACTGCTGCTCCAATGTTTTTGAATACCTTCCCTCTGCCATATATGAAGCATCATCAATTATTTGCTTCAGATGTCTAGTAAAGATGTATCTTCTCATGCATGCTTTCACTGCTCTGTAAGAATGGATCCTTATATCTGGATTTCGGTTTTTATCGCATTGTTTTATTTTGGGTTTTTTTATTTCTTTCTTATACATGGCTTAGATTATTTTTTTTAAAAAAGTTTAGAAATACTTTTAAATAAAACAGCGTATATGAATAGTATGTTATTTATATGCAAATAAAATTTCCAGAATAGTTGCATATGGTGAACAGCTGTGATGTGAAAACTACCAGTTTCCAAAACATGGCATGCTCATTCTCCCACCTGGATGATGGTGTAGCAGATGCGCCCGGCCTCTTTGCTGAACACAGAGTCTTTGAGGGACTGGTCCACAATTACGTTGGCAACCTTCTCCAGATCTACACTGCTGGGGTCTGTAGAAGAAGTGTAACGCTATCAGTGCTGCCTCAAAACAAGCATACCTTTGCATCATTCTGTATGTTTAAAATTGTACAATAACCACTGGGGTTTTTTTTTTTTTTTTGCTGGATATTTTATTTATGGATCAAAACTGTCTCTGTAGGAATGGTGGTGTTTCCAAACCTTTCTGCATCACAAATCTCCTGGAAGGAAGAGTGATCTGCTATTCCGTTTTAAAGGCAGGAGAAATCCAAGGCCAAGAGGTGAGTGACATGCCTGAGCTGTGTCATATCTGCCCCCACAAATTTCATCCAGTTTCAAACTGCCTAAACTGCCACTGATCCCAACAAAGCAAACATCAAGACCCGTAGTTCCATAAAGAGCTTAGTCATTCTAATGAAGTATTTTCAGCATTCTCATTATATTACATTCCTAGGATACTTTGGAAGAAACCGTGACCTCACAGGTAGGCAAAAAGGTGTCCTCCAGGTGTTGTTGAAATATGGCTCCCACTCGTCCCACCTTGCATAGCCAAAGGTCAGGGATGGTGGTGAGAAGCAACAGAAGTTGGAGAAGGCTGCTCTATAGCACTGCAAGGCAGGAGCCATCTAAGGACGATGGGCTGTCTCAATAGTAGAATCTTACATATATCAGTTCAGCTGCTTCTTTTGCTTTCTCTGCTGCAGGCTGAATTGGGACAGCCATGCACATGCCTTATCAGAGTATAGCTTACTTCGTAGCTTACGTTACAAATCTACCTGAACTCACCTGTAGTCAAGAGTGCAGCAGCAAACATTATCTAGCCAAACGTTTAAATCTGTTATCAGTAATATCTGATGCACTATCTGTTTGAAGACTAGATATTAAATGGACATACAGTGGTACCTCGGGTTAAGTACTTAATTCATTCCAGAGGTTCGTTCTTAACCTGAAACTGTTCTTAACCTGAAGCACCACTTTAGCTAATGGGGCCTCCCGCTGCTGCTGCTGCGCTGCCTCTGCATGATTTCTGTTCTCATCCTGAAGCAAAGTTCTTAACCTGAGGTACTATTTCTGGGTTAGCAGAGTCTGTAACCTGAAGCGTATGTAACCTGAAGCACATGTAACCTGAGGTACCACTGTACAGAGTTCTAGCGTTATGAGAGGGGGAGAATAACTTCTCTATCCACTTTCTCAATATAGTGCATAATTTTATCATGTCTCCTCTCACTTGTCTTTCATTGTTGTCCCCCCTTATTCATTTAAAAAGTCCCAGATGCTTCAAACGTGTCTCATAGGGGGAGTCACACCATCCCCTTGATCGTTTTAGCTCCCCTCTCCAAACCTTTTCTAACCCTGAAGAAGATTGTAAGGAATGGGCAATTCATATCAGAGCACACACAACCCTTCACAATGTTGATAGGCCCAAACAGCTCCAAATCTAGCAGTGAATTATGCTTGATTCATGGCAATGGGGAGGGGGGACGGGGGGGAAACAGGGAGGGAGGGAGAAAAGGGAGAGATACTGACCTTTGAGGGCTGTTTTGAGTAGCTGCTGAATCTCTGTATCAAACGTGTGTATTTTATATTCTTCTTTGCCTGAGTCCCCCATCTCTTTCCCTCCTTCAGTGGTGATAGATCAGGGGAGCAGCTGAGTTAGTGGTAACTGCGGGGAGAGAAGCGATCAGGTACTGATTATCCCGGAAAGGGAAGGAGACGGGATTAGCCATGGCTTTTCAGATGCTCTCATTCTCCGCTGAACAGGAAAATGGAACTGCCAGTTACACTGGAGTTCCTGAAATGAAACTACATTCCTCATAACAAAGAAAAACTTGTTAAAATCTCCTCAGACAAGGATGGTACTTCTGCTCCCGCCCCCCATTATCTCTGTTCTATCTACAAGGGTGTTAGGACTTTTTTGCTATTTCACCCACTTAAGATTTAAGGAGGGAACGCCTTCGTTTTTGGCCAAAAAACCCAGGCTTACCTGCCCACCCTGTTCAGTGCCAAACCAACTTTAACTGCCACCTCGCCCCCTGAATACTGAATAGACAACAGGCCAAACGCATCATTGCTCACTCATCAGAATTCCGCAGCTGTGACATGTGTTTTCACTGCAATCGGGGAAAAGTGAGGTGACAAAACAAGGGATGCTTCCAGCGAAAACATATAGCACTCTGGGATCTATGCAAAAGGATGTGGGGTGGGAATGCAGAAGAGGAAACAACAGTGCTCCTTTCCCACTGGGTTCCCAGTTAGTTTCTGTCACTCCAAAGGTCTTTGGCTTTACTTCAAGTGGCTAGTCCTCTGCAACTCTTAGCCCTTGGTTATATCTCATAACTCCTCCTTGTTCTCAGTATTCAAGCTCATCTGTCACTCACCCCTTCTGATGGGGATTGCCCATGCACAAAGCACAACAGGATCAGGGACACTATTTTAGTAGAGAGGAACACATACAGGTTAGTTTGTAGGTGTTAGGGACAAGATTAAGCATGTACAAAGGCCTGCTCTTGCAAAACATTCATGATGATATGACAAATGAGCAGAATTTTTAAAAAGCATTTGTTATGCATATTTTCTATAATAACAGCTATGTACATTTATGGATATTTGTTTATTCCATATGTCTGCCACATTTTCTTCAAGGAGCTCAAGGCATACATGGTTGTTTCCCTCTTCAATTAATCCCACAGTAACTCTGGGAGGTAGGTTGGTCTGAGAGGCAGTGACCAGCCCAAAGTTTTGGTGATCAAGTGGAGATTTGAATCCTGGCCTCCCAGGTCCTAGTCTGACATTTTACCCAGTCTTTCTCAACTTTGGGTCCCCAGATGTTGTTTAACTACAGCTCCCATCATCCCTGACCACTGGTTCCGCTAGCTAGGGATGATGGGCATTGTAGTCCAACAACATCTGGGGACCCAAGAGGTTGAGAAAGGCTGATCTAATCACTTCACCACACTGGCTCTCGCAAGCCTATTTTCATACAGTTTTCCATACAATACTAACAAGACCCAACCTGAACTGCTGATATCAGATAGGATCAAGGGCTTTCTGGTTGGTGTTGCTATATTATTTTAGTAGTGATAGTAGCATTTAATCCTGCTCTTCAAAAAAAAAATTACCTGGGTGGCTTACAAAGTAAACAACAGCAACAAAATAATAAAGCAATAAAAACCACTCATCACATGATACAAACAGTAGAAACAAAAAAAAGAAATAAAAACTTCTAAAAAAAGATAAAGAAGATTAAAGCAGATATGAGGAAAGAAGAAGAAGAAGAATTAATTTCTACCCCGCCCATCTGGCTGGGTTTCCCCAGCCACTCTAGGTGGCTTCCAACAAAATATAAAAAATACAATAAAACCAGACATTAAAAACTTCCCTAAACAGGACTGCCTTCATATGTCTTCTACAAGTCAGATAGTTGTTTATTTCCTTGACATCTGATGGGAGGGCATCTCACATCTCGTAGTGAGGGAACTACCAGAAGGCCCTCGGAGCTGGACCTCAGTGTCCGGGATGAACGATGGGGGTGGAAACGCTCCTTCAGGTATACTGGGCCAAGGCCATTTAGGACTTTAAACACTTTGAATTGTGCTCGGAAACGTACTGGGAGGCAATGTAGGTCTTTCAGAACCGGTGTAATATGGTCTCAGTGGCCGCTCCCAGTCACCAGTCTAGCTGCCGCATTCTGGATTCACTGCAGTTTCCGGGTCACCTTCAAACGCCCCATGTAGAGTGCGTTGCAGTAGTCCAAGCGGGAGATAACTAGAGCATGCACCACTCTGGTGAGACAGTCCGCAGGCAGGTAGGAAACCCAGCCAGATATAAAAAATAAATTGTTGTTGTTGTTATCATCAGCCTGCGTACCAGATGGAGCTGGTAGACAGCTGCCCTGGACACAGAACTGACCTGTGCCTCCATGGACAGCTGTGAGTCCAATTGACTCCCAGGCTGCACACCTGCTCCCTCAGGGGCACAGTTACCCCATTCAGAACCAGGAAGTCCCCCACACTCGCCTGCCCCCTGTCCCCCCAAAACAGTACTTCTGTCTTGTCAGGTTTCAACCTCAATCTGTTAGCCATCCATCCTCCAACTGCCTCCATTGGGAGGGAGCTTTCCATAACCTGGGCACCATCACTAATGTCTTCTCCCCAATAGCCGTTGGCTGTACCCCCAATGCCAGGGGGCATCCAAATAATGGCCTCTGTTGCATTATCTGTAGGCACATGTGGAGGCAGGTGGTCCTTCAAACTGGGAAGGACTTTAAATGTCAAAATGAACACTCTGAATTGAGCTGTAAATGGACAGGGAGCTTGTGCTAATCAATGAAGCACCAGCATGATGTGATTAAAACTGGCCCTGGTCCCAGTTAGCCATCTAGCAGTAAGTATCAGAATGCGTATCACACTGCAGCAGTCTAATCTGAAGGTTAACAGAGCACAGATTCCTCCCTCAAGGTAGGGTCACAGCTGGCGCAGTCACCCAATCTGGCAAAAGGCATTCTCAGGCTCAGAAACAACCAGGGACAAAGGCAGCCCCAGACTTTGAAATAGCTATACGTAGTAATGTTATCAGCATAGTGCAGGCACACCTTTTCTACTAAAGGACAACAACGAAGGGATTCGTCCCTTTGGCATACATACAGTAATTCAGAGCCAGTTCCTTTGATATGCCTGCAAGTGACTTCTTGAACAAAATCCCTGTGTACATTTACTCACATAACTTCAGAGGGACTAAATCCTGCAAATTCACCCCTTCAGCTCCGGGAACATGTTTCAACTTTATAATTCACAGAAGGGGATCAGTACAGCTTCGCTGTGACAATATTCACATATAAAGGTTGCTTTTGTGAACTATAGCTTTTGTTCTCTTTTCTGATAGTCAGCTGCTAGTGTATAATGTCAGAATGCACTTTAGATGTGACCTGGCTACAGATATGGGTACTCCTGAAATGTAAAGTCACGGTATGAGAGACCAAGTGGGGGATAGCAACTACTACTACTACTACTACTACTATTAAATTTCTATTTCTATACTGTTGTTAAACCATGCTTGGGTTCCAGACTACTCCCATAATACTCATGTTTCTGCACATACCAGATCTGCCACACAAACATCTCTGTGTTTAGTTCATGGCAGTTATTACATGCAGAAGATAAACATTATCAGTGCTGCAAGGTTAATGATTTCTGTGCATGACAACTTGCCATCAACCATGTGCAAAGGGGACTCCTGTCAAAATATAAGTAAATCAGTACCTCACAATCCTCTGCTGAGTTTGCGTAGGTGCTGATTTGGCCACAAGGCCCCCTAGTTCAGTGGCAAAGCCCAGGAATAAATTTCCAGCAAAAAAAAAAAAAAAAGGGGGGGGGAGATCATAGCGAGCAAGGACTAGGATATATTATCATACCAGCCTTTCTCAAAGTCATTCCCTCCAGATGATTTAAACTACAACTCCCATGCTTCCTGTATGCTAACTGCAATGCTAACTGGGGCTGAGTTGTAGTCCAAAACACCTGGAAGGCACCACATTGGAGAAGATTGAAACTGACCATGCTGGGAGAGGTAGTATTATACTAAGGCACCTTTGTAGACATTATCTCAGCAAAGGTCTGGTGGGCAGTTATCCTGGATTACAGAGATTACAGATTAGATTGTTGTTGTTTGGCCTTGCCATTTTTGTCAGTTGTGGTAATTTCAATGGGATGTATTAAAAAAAAAATGACAAGGAGATTCAAACCATGATCCCTTCCAAAGGCATACATAAGTCAGAACGGGCTCGTTCATACTACAGCTGGCCAAAAACTCCTTTATGAGTCATGGGGATGTTCTGACAATATGCTGAAAGGATTGCTAAGATTAGACGGGCGAGCATGGGCATGCCAGGTCACATTCCCTTCTACATTCCTGGAAGAGTTACATGCACAGCCCAACTGTGTGCACAGGTTTTACAGGGGCCAAAGATGTAAACCAGACGGGAAGGAGACATATTTTGGGCACAACCTGCTGAAGACAGAGTTGTCTGACTATGTGCCACAACTACCTTTCAGCCTAACCTATCTCATAGGGGTCGTGTGAGAATAAAATGGAAATTGGGGGTGGAAACCTATGTACGCCACTTTGAGCTCCCTGGAGGAAAAGTGGGATATAAACAGAATAAGAATAAGAATAAGCATCTGAACTTGCACAGAGAAGGATCGCTTGTAAAGTCCAGAAAGCCCAAGTCAGGAAGGCAGATGGGAGAGAAAATGCTCCACGCCCGTTAAGAAGCAGGCGTTTCTTTCTGAAACTAACAAGGAAGAGAGATTTTCAGATGTCACCAACCTGCTTTGTTTGGGGGGTTTTTATGCCTCCACTTTCAGGACTGGAGTGAGGTGCATCTTTACGAGGGAACAGCAGCCCGCCCAGCCCAGCCCAGCCAGCTAGTCAGCCCCCCCTCACCCTAATTCTTTTTGGTTTCTGGTTCGGGTCGGTGGAGGTAGATCAGGAAAAAGCCCACAGCCATGAAGAACAGCAGCAGGAGCAGGAAAGGCAGCAACTCAAGCATGGAGTGCAAATGCAGGATGGGCATCCTGCACGAAATCGACCCGCCACCAGCAAAATAAAAACAATAATAATTTTCTTTTAAAAAATCGCCCAGCTGCTGCTGCTCTCCCTTACTTTTCACCCGCTTTTGGTGTCAGGCGGAGACTCCTGGAAGACGAATTCTTTCCATTGCTTGCAAACCCGGAGGGTTTCCTCTTAGGTCATTTCCTAGCAGGCTGAGCCAAGCGGGAGGAGAGTTTGTGATCGGGAGGCGGCGGAGGCAGCGCCACCTGCTGGAAGGTTCTGAGCAGGGCTTGGAGGGAATCTTCCTGCCTGGGTGGTGAGGCGTTTTGTTTTTTTAATTAGTTTTTTTTTTAATAAAGATTTTCCTGCATTAACAAATAAACAGGGGAAAGCACATGTCCTTTCAACTTTCAGTTTCACAGTTCGTTTACATGTAGTGTTGTATTTGTCGTTTCACATGGAACCTGAGAAGCCCGCCAAGCAGGTGCAAAGCAGGTGTGAGGGACGGAGCCAGACACAGAAATGAAATGGTGGCTCAGAGAGGGCAGAGCCATTGGCTGACCTAATTAAGATACCACAGCTTTGCAAGACAAATGAGCATAGTGCTGCTCCTTCTTGTGTGACAACAGCACCCTCTTGTGAATTCAGCTGTGAACTTTGAAGTGAATCAAATATTGGCACATGATATACAGGCTATGTTCCATTTCCGCTGGAATCCAGCTAATTAACAGCCAGCTAGTGCTATTGTTTTCATCTCCGTCTGGAGGTGCCAACTTTCCAACCATTCCCTGCTTCTGTGTGTGCTTTTAACAGCAGCCTGAAATGGTGGCTCAGAGAGGGCAGAGCCATTTGCCTATTGCACCTCACGAGCCACACATCGGTCTGACAGTGTCACTGACCCTGCACACACGCGCGCGTGCGTTATTAAAGGCGCACTCCTGAACGTATTTGGTTTTAAGCAGCCCCCCTGTGAATATGCCTGAATATTGAAGCCCTCCCCAGGCGCTTCTCTATTGTTCCCGCCTTTTGGAAGCGAGGAGCTTGTTATGCATTTTGTGTTTTATCTTGTATTTTTATGCTGTGAACCGCCCTGAGATCTACGGATGAAGGGCGGTATACAAATTTAATAAATAACAATGATAACAAAGCAACAATTTCCAGCAGCAACGTCCCCTGGGTGGGGGCTCCTTTTACACAGAGGTGTTTGGCTCTGCTTAATTGTAGGTGCTCCAGTCAAGGCTTTATACAGGCTTTCTGCCAGGACTTGAATGGATGAGCAGAACGCAGGGAAGCGAATCTTGTCTGGATATTAGAACATATCCTAATAAGGGGAGGGCTGCAGCTGCTAGGCACACCCCAAAATGCAAGTGGGCCTAATGGCCACATCCCCCAATAGTCAAGCATTAGGATAAAGCAGTGGCTTTCAACCAGTGTGCCATGGCACCCTGGGGTGCCTTGAATGATGGTCGGGGGGGGGGGCACAGGGCAACACTGGCCTCTGTCCCTCTTTCCTTCCTTCTGTCCTCTGATGCCCTCTCAGGTTTTTGCCTCCCAAAGGCTTGCACAGCTGTTTGTTGCAGAAGCCCTGGCTACAAGCTCTGCAGGCGAATGGTGCCTCTGGTGCTGGCCATGGGGTGCTGGTTGCCAGGAGCTGAGGCAGCCTCGGAGTAAGCAAGCAAGCGGGCGAGGAGCCCAGCCAGCCAGTTTGCCAGCCCTTGCTGTTGGGAATGGACAGACAAGTGGGAGGCTGGGCAGACAGGCCTTTCTTGTTCTTGCTGTGTGCAAGGCTTGACTGTGATCCGAGTGCCTGGCACCAAAGGGGAGCCTTTCTGCCATGCAGGCCCAACGGTGCCCGTTGCCTTCCAAGGTGGGTAAGATGGTAGCCTTACGTTCACCTTTGGCCAGTCTCCATTGGGCATCCTCTTCCCAGACCCCTCTGGGGCGGTATAAGGAGGAACCTCTCATTGGGGTGGGGTAGCTCAGAGACCAGGGGCGGCTGCCCAGAAGACTCCCAAGGAGAGGGGAGAGGGGAGGAGGCTGAGGGAACACTCCACAAGGGAGAGTGTTTGATAAGGGGTGAGGGGCTGCCGGCTAGGGGTGACATAACTGGGCTCCTGAGCCCCACAGGGGTGCCGCAAAAAGAACGTAGTCGGTCAAGGGAGCGGTGGACTCAAAAAGGTTGAAAATCTCTGGGTTATAGGATTGCTCAGAAGACCCACTATGGATGTGTATCTACAGCAGTGCAGGCACAAGGCCTGTTCATATGCTTGTTCAGCTGCTAAAGAGGCATGACCGCTGGGAATTATTTATACATACATACATACATACATACCCCGTCCATCTGGCTGGATTTCCCCAACTACTCTGGGCGGCTTCCAACAGAATATTAAAATACAATTAGCATGGGGTACAGAACCGGCAAGTGCAGTCCTATTCCCTCTTCATTCAGGGTACAAAGCAATATTGACAGATCAATACCAGAAGTGTGGTGTTAATGGGCATATTCCGCTGATCACATAGTTAATCACAGAATTGTAGAGTTGGAAGGGACCTGAAGAGTCATCTGATCCACTCCACTGCAATGCAGGAACCACAGCTGAGCTAATGTACGTATGTCAAGCTATCAGTGAGCATTATTTATTCATTTCTTGAATTTATATCCCAGGAGCATAAGGTGGTGTACATGGTTCTTCCCCCCCCCTTCATTTAATCCCCACAACAACCCTGTGATGTAGGTTAGGCTGAGAGGCAGTGACTGGCCCACGGTTACCCAGTGAACTTTATGGATGAGTAGAGATTTGAACCATCGTCTCCCAGGTCCTGGTCTGCTTGTTTCCCTGCGCCAAACTCCTATTCAACAAACCTGTCATCTGTGCATGTGCAACTGCTCTCCCAAAGGTACACACCTCAGCTTAACCATGCCTTCCATGCCTTTTCAAATATGACGGAAGCTGCTTTGAGGGAAAGTGGATGAAACAGGAGTATTTCTCAGGAAACCACAGAATACCTATGGATTGTGTGCAACATAATGCGTACTCAGTTTCAAACACCTGTGGTGGGAGCACACAAGAGTAAGCAGTAATGCATACACAAGACTAGGGCACTGGTAACTCTAGGGAGCAACTGGACATCAAAATCCCTATATCCAGAGACAATGATGTTGCTTTTGAAGATGAAACACTGGAGAAGGGTAGGATGGATACAGCAGTAGCACAGTGGAACAGCATGTGCAGCAGGTTACAGCTAGGGTATGAAAATGATCCCTGCCACTCCTAGGCCACATAAACTAATACTGTGACCCAACACAAGGAAGCTTCTTATGCTCAGAATCGGGGATGAAGAATCTGTGGTGCTCGGTCTTCCCATGCTGTTAGACTAACAAACCCCCCAATTATCGGTCATGCTGGCTGGGATTATAGGAGTTAGAGCCCAAGAACATTGGGAGTATTCCCCATCCCTGCTCAAAATGGATAAAACAGTTGAAAGATGGTATGCTCACACTTACCTTTGTGAAACAGCAGCATTTTACCCCAACCTTAACTTCAGCAGCAGGTACTTACTTTGAATCCCTGTGGTATACGTGGCCAAAGAAGGCAGGGTCCTCCATCCCTTAGCCACATCCATACAATGCATTAGTCACCTTACCTCTAATAGACAGCATTCTGTTTAGAACACTTCCAGCTTAATTCCATTGACACCCTTCCCAGGAGCAAAACACTTGACATGATAACAGCATTAATCCTGCCTTCCTGGACAGTACTTAGGCCTACTTTTTGATGCGTGGGATAAATCACCCAGTAGTATTGTCTGCACCAATTAGGTCAGCCATCTGTTGTTTTAATAGTCCTTCATGCCTCTTGGACTGACCCAGCTTATGCTGATCTAATTAAGATACCACAGCTTTGCAAGACAAAATGAGCATAGTGCTGCTCCTTCTTGTGTGACAACAGCACCCTCTTGTGAATTCAGCTGTGAACTTTGAAGTGAATCAAATATTGGCACATGATATACAGGCTATGTTCCATTTCCGCTGGAATCCAGCTAATTAACAGCCAGCTAGTGCTATTGTTTTCATCTCCGTCTGGAGGTGCCAACTTTCCAACCATTCCCTGCTTCTGTGTGTGCTTTTAACAGCAGCCTGAAATGGTGGCTCAGAGAGGGCAGAGCCATTTGCCTATTGCACCTCACGAGCCACACATCGGTCTGACAGTGTCACTGACCCTGCACACACGCGCGCGTGCGTTATTAAAGGCGCACTCCTGAACGTATTTGGTTTTAAGCAGCCCCCCTGTGAATATGCCTGAATATTGAAGCCCTCCCCAGGCGCTTCTCTATTGTTCCCGCCTTTTGGAAGCGAGGAGCTTGTTATGCATTTTGTGTTTTATCTTGTATTTTTATGCTGTGAACCGCCCTGAGATCTACGGATGAAGGGCGGTATACAAATTTAATAAATAACAATAACAATAATAACATTTGTCTCAATGCTGTGAAGAGTTTCATCTGCTGATTTCTGCATCAAGCTGCTATTAAAAGACCAGAAGCAGGCCAGGCTGTTTTTCTGGTCAACGTCCAATCTACATCCTAATTCTGAACTGCCAAAATACTTCATATCATACACACTTTAGGATGAATTTGGTGCAGTGCTTTGCCAGTCAGAATGAACCACCCCACCCCGTCCTCTTCGCCCCTCATGCTATTCTTGGGTCTCAGCCACAGGCCAGAGCCAATTTCAGGGGTGTGAGCAGGGGTGGAGGAGCCCTGCAGCACTAGTGCAAGTCCTTGCACAGGCTTCCAATAGTGGGGCTAGTTAGTTGAATCCCACCCCCTGTATTTAGCAAGAGATTCCCAAAGCACAACACATATTGATTATGCTGCTTGCAAGAGACTTTAGGATGTGTATACGTCTGGTTTCACCTTCAGAACACCTGTGGCCCAGTCCTTCCCAGGTCACTGTTTGTGTGCAGAAGAAGGAAAAAAATGCTTGCAAGGCGCTTCTCCGCCAGATTTTTTAAGACAAGACATGATTGATAGGTGTCACACACAAAAAGTAGGACAGATTTATGTCAAATATATTTATTATCTTTCTTCCAAGAGCAGTACATCTTTCACACAGGGTGAAAATCTGAGGCATATGCAAATCCTTAGCCCTCCACATTGAAAAATATATATGCTTATATATGAATACAAATGCTGTAATAAATTAAGCCTTGATGCAACAACATGAGTTGGAAAAAAACCTCTAAAAATCCTCAATAATTGATCCTGAAACATTTGTTTTTTGTGCATCTGTATACACAAACAAAGTGCTTTCTGCAAGCATCTTGAGATGTACAATCCTAGACTTGCAGCTCAATATCATATCCTCTACTAGAAATCAGTATAGGGCCTTGAATGCATTAGATAACTTCAGTAGAGTTCTCAACAGTACAGGTGCTCATGTCACCACTTTCAACTACCCCCCCATTTGAGGGGGAGGGAGTGCTGAGCTCCTAATGCTACCTATGACGTTCAGTGAACCACTGGACTTCAAGGCTTAGCTTTGTAAAGTGCATATTGACATGGTGGTGGGATAAGGCACAAGATTAAAATTAGCCTATATAGTCAAAAGAGGTTTGGAAAATGAGCAGCAGGATTACTTCAAGGTAGAACCATCTTATTCATAAACCCTAGAGATACACACTGGGCTGCTTTTGCCACATCAGAACTATAAATGAGAGTAACTTTGGATATTACAGAAAAAGCGCTCTGTGGTCAGTTGTGAAAACCTCTAATGCAGAGTGACAGGCACAACCTGAGCACAGAAAGTGGGGGTGTGCATACTATTGCCATATTCAGGAGTCTGTGCACCTGAACGCGCAACTTCCCCTTAACATTACAATAAATACCACCTTCTAAAGGCAAAAACAACTGCAATTTTGGCTGGCTTCTTCACTTACATCCAATGCCACAGTGAGGGCGAAACTATACATTGCTGAATTCATGTTGATAAGCCAACATACAGGGTTGTGGGGGCAATTGCATGTGACAACCAGTGAGTAAGTGCTGGTGGTGGCATCAGCTTCCCACGACCAATTCATTCTCATGAGGCCATATCTCTTCCTGCCTGCCTGATTTCCAGTTAGGCATCTCCTACCTTCTGCCTCTGATGCTCCTCTGCAAATGCACCTTCACACATTAGCAATGTATGTTCAGGACCCACAAACATGCCATTCTGCCCAAAGTGAATGTTATAAAGGATCCTGAATCAACTTGCTAAACAGTTCTTTGAAAGGAGGGTGCGCGGGCAGCTGTTCCCCTTCCCAGTGTAAACATTTCAGGAAGTACAGACAAGCTTCATTCTTGGTGTATGTAACTCAAGGGTTTGTACAGTCAAATTCTCTTCCAGCAATACACAGTAAACAGAGCATGGACTGTTCCAAAACACGTATGAGGAAGAATCCTTTCTTAACAGGCAAAAAAGTAGAAAGTGACCAGAATGAACATTTCTGATTTTTCTGCTCCTGGGTGATATGGCTACGGCTTTACTGATCCAGCACAAATGATCCCATGGCCTCTGAAATAAGACCCCTTAGCTCTGAAGATTGTATAAGAATCTGCTTAATATGAGAGGTCTCACATCTGTCTTGTGTAGCAACAGATGGAAACATGAGTACATCTCCACCCACTGTCCTGTCCAAGTCAGTGGTGTGGCTGAACGGGTGTGGCCCACACAGTGGCGCCCACACTGTGGGAGGAGAGCCTAGGGTGGGAACTCTGTCTGATGCAAGAGCTGGGTGGTTTTCATTGGATCCCAGCCCAGACAGCTCCTTGATTTGTAAGGCTGCAAAGACATTTCTCTCTCTGTTCCCCAAACTGCTGAGACATGCTGTAGTGCATGTTCCTCATTACCAGTCAGCAGAGCTGATAATTAGGGGCGATGAGAGTTGTGACGTACAGGTTAGCCATCTGATACAGTGTCTTGTTACAGAAAGGTGCCTATTTTTTTAAAGCTTATTACCACACTGAAATTAGGAAAACTGCCTTCTACTCCAGCAAGCAAAAAGAATTGGCATGAGTGCACCCAGTTTATTGGAACAGATCTTTAAAACTACTCTATATGCCAAAATGCTACTCTATATTTAATGAAGAGCACAGCACAACTGCCAGCAGACCAATAAAACTACAGATGGATGAGCAAATGGAGTCTTTCCTTTAAGAACATAGATCCAGTCTTCAGCACCCCAATACTCTGGACATATTTGAAGGCTGCAATCCTAAACACATTTAAGTCTAATTTAACTTAGAGGGACCTGCTTCCAAGTCTGCATGTATAGCATTGCACAGACATGTTTGCAGACTGGTTTTCCTTGCAGGTTTCTTCATTTAGAAGACTGGGCAAATTCAGTTGGACAAATGGTAGTTTAGTTTAGCTCTTTGTTTGCTAAATATTATACTGGAGTCAGTTTATTGCAGATAAGTAGCTATTTCACTTGTGCTGGAAACCTGTGCCTGAGATGATCTGCCAGGGGATAAACTTATTTTGGAGCAGTTATCAAAATATTGATTAAGTATCAGTATCACAAGGCATTTTCTTCATTAGCATTCAAAACTAAAAGACTTGGGCTATGTTCAGAAAGAAACTTCCCCCAGTTTTCAGTTCAGTACGTGTGCGTTAAGGTAGGAGTGCAGAAGTCAAGACTGTATAAAAAGGAAAATGTTGGCACCTTTTTTGTGGGCCTATTGCAAAACTATACTGGCCACATTAGCAATTTTGGGCAGGTGATAAAAAAAAGTGCTTATATGGGACACACAAGCATCAATAGAACTGGCACAGAAGGCAGGAAGGGAGCAGGTGGTTATCCACTCTTCTGCAGGCCTCCCTTTGTTTGGACCCCACTGCTTTTTTATTTAGAATTTGCTCCGTCGTTGATAAAACACCATAATGCCCTCTAAGACCACCCACAAGAGGCAAGGACAAACAAGGACCGATGATAAGCTGCAGCAGCTTCCAGTGCTGGCTGGTGCCCATTGGGACTGACAGACCAGCAGGTGGAGCCAGAACCAATGAGAGGAAGAGCCAGCTAGTTCTAGTTAATTCCCTATTATCCTCCCTACAAAGAGGAGGAAGCTGACAGGCACTGCCACTGAGATTAAGCTGAAGTTTGTGGGGGCAGAGTCTCATTGGTCCTAATGGAGCAGCACCCCGCCCCCCGGCAGTTCTGCTGCCTATTCTGAACCACCAGTGCAGCCCGTTGTCTAACAGGCAGCTGCGCCATCAAGCAAATGCCTGTAAGCAAGGCTTACTATAGCTCCGGTTTAAGGTAAACACCACAAAATGTCAATGCTGGAGAAGCTGGGCTGGCAACTGTGTCGCCGGAGAGTTAAGGGGGATGTGAGCAGGTCAAGTCAGGGTTTGATTCAAAGCAGTTAGAGCAGCCCCAGTCATGAGAAGATGGGGGGAAAGCAGAGGGAGATTTGCCGGTGGGTAAAGAACATTCCCCATTGAACTTAGCTAAGATGGGAGGGCCCCAATAGCAATATCTGTAAGCTTCCTCCCAGTGTTAATGCCTGTTCCATAGAAGGCAAGACAAGAAGTGCTCATGGGAGGCATGACAGGAAGTGCTCCAGAGAGAAAAGAGAGGCCCACAATGTCCTTGGTAGAAGCTGCAGAAGGCAATCTCCTTTCATTTGGGCCAAACATAGTAGTAAGGTGCTTTCTGGGCTTTGGCAAAGAGACAAACGTTGCCACTCTGCAAACACCCCCCACAATCCACATTCCGCACCCCGCTCCCCACATATGACAGTGTGGCCGACAGATTAATGTTTCAGTCTCCGCAGACAGGAGCTCTTATATCAGCCTTCCTGCTTTTTGGGGCCATTGGGGTACTTCACGGCACGCAGGAAACTGCAGAAGATCTCATACCAGAAAAAGGTGAAGCCCGTTGCAAACGCAGCCTTCAGCAAGCTTGGCGAGAGGCCCTTGAAGAATCCTCTGGCTCCTTCATCCCGTGCAATTTGTTGGGCACAGTCCACTAAGCCACTGTACGTCCGCACCTGGGGGGAAAGAGAATGGAGTGAGGGATGGCACAAATCCAGCCCGTTAAGAAACCTTGTGCAGTTTGTAGCAGAACTCAACTTCCCGTTTTGTACTATTATTGGAAACAGTGGTTTGCAGAAACCATCAGCTAATGGATTAGGATGTCAAACCAGGACCTGATTGTGAACGGAATATATATATGTGAAATTTCTGGAAGCTGTTGCAAAGAGATCTGGAGTAAAGTTATCCATGATATGAAAATGACACGCAGCTCCATCTCTCTGCTCCATCTGAATCAAGAGAGGCTTGATGAGCTGCTAAGCCTGTGCTTGATGGAAGATGGGCTGGATGTGGGCCAAAAAATTTGAGGCTGAATCCTGAAAAGATTCAAGGCTGAATCCTGAAAAGATTCAAGACTGCCCTTGAAAACGGCCCAGGAACTACAATTGGTCCAAAATACAGCACTTAGATCAAATTCCCTTTAGATCACATACAACCCCTGTTTTAAAACAGCTGCACTGGTTTCCAGTTTGTTTCCAGGATCAATTCAATGTGTGCACATTAGTATTTTAAAAGTAACAAATATACTGATTGTGTAATTGGTCACATAGTTCTCTGGTCAATGAGGATAAGACCAGTTTTCCAGTAGCATCTCCAATGAACCCATTTTGTTCCTCCATCACACAGCTCCAAATAAGCAGTGGGATTCTTAATTTTAGTGCCACGCTGCCCTTACGTCACACAATGTTGTTATAAAGTTATCCTTTTATAGTTTAAGACTAGGTTGTTTCAGATTTTACTTTCAATTTATCCGCCTGGTTTACATAAATTGTGGGCTACGTTAGGTACACACACAAAAAAGGGAGGCAGAAAGATCCCTGCAATTTGAAACGTCTCTCACCTGCCCAAATGCTGCCCGGGCTTGCTCAAAGCCAGCTACCTGCAGTCTTTTCTTGAACAGGTCAAAAGGATAAGTGAGGGTTTTGCTGAGGACGCCAGCACAGCTGCCGCAGACAAAGTTTTTAATATTACCTGAAAAAGAGAAGTCTGGAGTTGAGAGATGTGTTTCAGAACTGCTCGGTAGCTTAAGACAGGAATTAGTTAAAGGTTTCCAGTGTTATTATGATTAGTTATCCATACAGCACTTTTACTAAGCAGTGATTTACAAGAAAAACTAACAGCTGGAGCCCTTGGAGCAACTTTCCAAGCACAACTATGTACAACTTAGTGACAGACTGCATCAACTGAAGTGGGTGGGATTCATGAACCAAAAGCACTGACCACTAACAAGGAACCAGATGTTATAGATATTACTGCAAATTTAGCGCGCTATTTTTCTGATATTCAAATGACAGTAGAAGACTTGGTCTATTTATTTGTATCATGTATTATTTATATGATCCTTGTTTATAAAGCCTAATAAAAAGTTATTTAAAATAAAAAACTAGGGTGGGTGGGGGTGTTACACAGGAGCACAGACAATTCCCCCCAACACTTTTCCAAGCCCCAGGACTAACCTGTTTTCATTTCTTCACTTGGAACGATCCAGTCATACAGTTTCTTCAGGAGACTATAGAAGGAAAACTGGAAGCCAGCATAGGGGACAATGGCAATGAGAGTAGGGCTGAGCCCCTTATAAAAACTCAACAGCCCTTCTTGCTGGTACACACATGCTACAGCATGGCGGAAGTTCCTGTAAATCTAAAACAATTGATGGGTGAGTATGTTTCCTTGTGTGCCCCATTAACAGAGGCCTATGATATTTATTGCTCTACATGCATCAGTGTGTAAGTCAGGCTTCAATAATGCTCACAAAAAGCTCCAGAGTTTATGGAGTGGAGCTTCTGCACATACTTTTCATACCAATCAAATTCCACCTTAAAATGTCCAGTCAAATTTTCCTACCTTACCCACTTGCCATGATCTTGCAAGCGGAATACTAAACCTTGCTCCTCTAAGACCTAAACTCTATAAAGGGTAAGACAGAATTATTTATCATAAGACGAGCCTACCCAATCAGGCCTATGGCCCATCTAGATAAAAAATCCTGTTTTCACCAACCACATACCTTTGGGAAGCCCACAGGGAGAGTCCAAGCGCAAGGACAATCTCCTCCTCTCCAGTTTCTGGCAACTGGTATTCTTTCAAAGCCAACCTAATTGGTGGCCAACACAGCCTCCTGTGGGAGCAAGTTCTATTAACTATGCGCTGCGTGAAGACGTGTCATGCTAATTGAGCATATTTCTGCAAATTACCGATTGTTCTGAATTCAAAACCATCATTTTTCTGGAGACAGAAGGGAAGACCCTGGGCCCAAAATTTAGATTTGTGTTGGGGGAGGGGAAGCATCAATTACTAACTCCACAATTGGTAGATGTGGGGAAATCTTACCATTTGATAAAGCCCCCAACCTTTACTATATACAAGCATGTGGGGCAGAAAAATAATAATTCACACAATGTTTTCATTAATATCTATGACTAAGGAACTGTGTGGTAGAAAATCTTTTCCACTTGGTAAATTGGCTATACAGTGGTACCTTGGTTTGCATGCGTCTTGGTTTGCATACGTTTTGGATTACAAACACGTCAAACCCAGAAGTGCATGTCCCGGTTTGCAACCTTTTTTTGGATCACAACTTATTTTTTTTTATTACGAACAAATTTTTTGGGGAGGCCCCATTGGCGAAAGTGCGCCTTGGGTTACAACCTGTTTTGGTTTACAAACGGACCTCCGGAACAGATTATGGTTGTAAACCAAGGTACCACTATATTCTTCCTAATGGTTTGTGCAAACCATAGTTTGCTACATTCAAACAAAATAGCAAATGCAGAAGCTTCCCATCTCCTCTTGTGTATGGGGAAAGGAGTGGAAGGGAGCCCAAGGGCCTATGGCCTGTGGCTGCTCATTCTCAATCCTGTAATTAAATAAAGAAACCGCCATGTGCTTCCAAGATCACCAAATGACCATCACCTAAATTGGTGGGAGCAGAACCAACTAGGAAAGGATGCACACAGCAGACAGAGGAGACAGATTTGGCAGGGGGAAAGCTTCTCACCCATTTCTTACCTTTGGCTCACCTTGGGCAGCCAAGCGAGTACGCAGTGTGTCCAGGGGCTGAACCGCCACGGTGGCAGCACAAGCAGATAGCCCGCCGCAGAAAAACTGCACAGTGAAGCCTCTGGCATCATAAGATGTGCCCTGGTGCACCAACTTCGTCAGAAACTCAAAGCTTACAAACTTGCATAGAAAGAAAAACAAGAGATGAACATCATCAGTTTAGGTAAGAAATATGGTTGCCACCCACAGTGAGAATGAAACCTATCACCTAAAATCTCCACTGCAGCCCAGCCACACACATCACAGTAACATTTGTAAAAGAAATTATCTATTTTTAATACAAGTAAGTAAGAAGAGGCATTCTGTCTCATACCACTTCAGCTGCACCCCTTGTGAGGAGGTGGCAGTAGCAGCATAAGCAGCTGAATGGGAAGTTACTAGTACTGGACCATCATGTCTTGTGTATCATTGCCATCAGGTTTCAGCTCAACTGCTATGGCTGGATGTTAGGTTTCCTGGATGGTATCCCTGCAATTGTGTTGTCTGTCTTTTCTCAATTCCCAAGACCACCACCTACGGTGTCCCTGAATTCTCTATTAATTCTAGTCTGGCAATTTTCAGTGAAGTTGTACAACTGACCTCAGCAGAGGTGGGGCAGAGTTGGAAGGTGGTCCAGACTGCACTCTGCATACTGCAGGGGTTTTCAGTATCAGGACCAAACAAGCAAAGCATGTTCTAATTCTGTAGTTATGATGGTGCCATTATGAATAATTGAGCTTACAACATGAAACTCTGAACATGTTCAGTCTTTTTTTATTTTATTTGGCAGCATTGTCTATTTTTTATTTGGGAAACAGGTTCCTCTCTCTCTCTCTCTCTAACATAGTGGAGATACAGCAGTTATGTAAAGCATGGAATCGTAAGTGGTGGGTAGGGAGACAAACTTTCACCTTCCTGGCTTTGCCCATTTTTTGTTTCTCTCTAAACTGTCATCCCCCTTATCTTTATGTCTGTAAAAGCTCAGGGTGAAAGATTGGGTGTAAGCTTATCCACACACTTACTTTGGAATAAGATTATTGAACACAAAAGGATTTAATTCTGAGCAAATATGCAAAGGCTCAGGTTGCACCACACGTTTTTCTGGGGAGATAGTGGGGAGGGATGAAAGAAGCTCAGCGTAATATACATTATCACCTAAAGGTGGGAAGGAACTATAAGACCATTCAGTCCAGATGCTAAATCATCTAGCTGCACCACTGTTTGCGCACCTTTACTATCGTATAGTACTGAGGAACACTAGTGTCCTACAGCAAGTCGATCTGCATGCTAACAAAACGTTACTAAAACCCATCTATTTGTCCTCTATTTATACTACAGTCATCAGAGAGAAGGATGGAAAGATCGTAGCAACAGTACGGTCAGGATGACAAACCAACTTGCAGTCATTGGATGGAAAGGGTCATTTCCAATGCAAAGTTCATGCAATATATATTTCAACCATCCATCCTCCTCACTGTTACCTCCTGAAAAGCCTCTCCTGGTTGTCAGGAAACCTTCATAAAAGGCCTGGGGCTTCTGTACCTCTCCACACAGAAGAAGGGAGTGAGGACTTATTAGACTAGCAGTTGCAATGAAAAAAATCAGACAGAGGGTTTCGCAAACTGCAAGAGAGGCTTTGGGGGGAGGGAACTGCAAGGAGTTGGAATGGATGCCTCCCTGAGAGTGTAAGGGTTTTGGATTAACTGATCCTTATTATTCCTTCCACACAATAACATCATAAGTACTTTGCACATGGTCAGAAAGCACAGGAAGAGTCCAGATGACAAAAGAGTGAAGTCTTTGTTATGCCCAGATGAGCAGTTTATAAATTATAATGTTGTTGTTGTTGTTGTTACTACTATTACTGGTCCTTAGAAAAGTGAAACTGGTACTTGAGGGCAAATAAAGGAAAGGCAGCTATAACAAACAGATTTGCTGAGGAAGTCACTGGAAAAGATGAAACACTCAGGGTAGAGAGTTAATCCCAAACATTTCCTAATTCTTACCTGGACAGCTCCATAGGTAACTGAGAGGAGCTGAGCAGGGACATGGCCCTTCCAAAAAGCTGGTAGCCTTTCTTCCTGGAAAATCTTGCAAACAGCCTGCCAGAGGCCATGATACTTAGCCTGGGGGTTTCTGGCAGAAAATGTCTCTATCTGAAGCTGAAAGAAGACAGGCATAGTTGGCTTTCAGTTTCAATGTATACGCTGTAAATTGCTTCATGGTTTAAATTCGGGATATGAAACCTGTGGCCTTCCACATGTTGTTGAACATCGCCCCAGCCAGCTTAGCGAATGGTCAGATATGCTGAGAGTCAGAGGACTACAGGTTCCATATCCCTGGTTTAAATAATTAGGGTGCTTCTCTCAACTCTTTCCAGGCCATGTACTGCTCTCATAATTCTAACTGTCAAGAGTATATTACCAGTTTTCACACAACATCTCTAAAGCAGAGAGGGCTTACGAAAATCAAATGGCATGATAATTAACTTCATCTTCTGAGGTGTTTGCATGCTAATTGCATGTAACACAAGCCTGTTAAACAAGTGGGGCCTATAACAAAAGGTTGCACTATGCTGCTATTCAATGTCCCAGCTAGTGTTCTGTGGCCACAATGATTGTGCTCTGTCCTCACTGTCTGCTTTTCTTGTCATGCCCTCTTTAGGGGTTTTTAAAGATGTTTGTATTCATGCAAATGTTGGGGTCCCTCTCAAGTCTGTTCATACCTCTGTCTTGTGCACTGATGGTGCTCTTTTAGCTACATAAAGGATTGAGACTTGGAGAATGAGTTTACTTAACTGGCTGTCCAATTTAAGAACACTTCTTATGAGACAGCCTAGAAAGGGCTGTACCAGAGCTGGTTTCAGCCAGCACAGATAAATGCGTTCGCTAGATCTTTGGCTACAATGGCTGAGGGACTTGGTCCCTCACAGTGTGTGAGCAAAATTGCATGAAAGTTGACTCATAAAGGAATACAGTGGTACCTCTGGATGTGAACGGGATCCGTTCCAAAGCCCTGTTTGCATCCTGAAGCGAACACAACCCACGTCTGCCTGTGTGCGGGTTGTGATTCGCCACTTCCGTGCATGCACATGACGTCATTTTGAGCGCCTGCGCATGTGCGAGCGGCGAAACCCAAAAGTAACGCGGAGCATAACCTGAAAACACTCACCTGAAGCACATTTAACCCGAGGTATGACTGTAGCTTCCTAACTATACAGGTTACTGATCGAGAAGACAATGGGCATGGTTGATGGCTTAACTTTTTGTTTGTTCATTGTAGCAACACAGTAACTGTTATGTGAACTGTACCTGAAAACGAATCTTTAGGACGTCAAAGGGGCTGATCATTGCCCGAGTGACAAACCCAGATGCAGATCCTGCTGTTGCTATGTCCACGGTTGTAAGAGATGCACACTCGGAATCTGGGTCATAGCCAACCATCCCTCTAGGGTCCACAGGCAGCTTCAATATCCATTCACGCTAGCGGACACTGGTGATTTAAATATATATATTTGTTTACTGCTTTTCAGATGAGAAAATACAAAAATGCTACTACAATAAAATATTGACCGTCATAACCCCAATGCATCTTTCTTAATGTTTTTCTATTGAAAACTCTGGTTCCAATATAGGATTTTATTTTTCCAACACTGTAAAATGAATGTGAAGATAATTATTTACACTGCAAAAACAAACGATCAATCCAGAACAGTCTAGCAAACAGACAGCAGGGCAGTGCATTTATAGGAAACTTTTTCTTGAAGATGCAAAGCTGCCTTACACTGAGAGAACCTATTCCAGAATTGTCTCCTCTAACTGGCCTTAGGTATTTTCATATACATCCCTCAAAAACTGTGAAGTGGGGACAGAAATATTCCATTTATAATCATAAAGGTAAAGGTACCCCTGCCCGTACGGGCCAGTCTTGACAGACTCTAGGGTTGTGCGCCCATCTCACTCAAGAGGCCGGGGGCCAGCGCTGTCCGGAGACACTTCTGGGTCATGTGGCCAGCGTGACATTGCTGCTCTGGCGAGCCAGAGCCGCACACGGAAACGCCGTTTACCTTCCCGCTAGTAAGCGGCCCCTATTTATCTACTTGCACCCGGGAGTGCTTTCGAACTGCTAGGTTGGCAGGCGCTGGGACCGAACAACGGGAGCGCACCCTGCCGCGGGGATTCGAACCGCCAACCTTTCGATCGGCAAGCCCTAGGCGCTGAGGCTTTTACCCACAGCGCCACCCGCGTCCCTTTTTTCTAATCATACACTGCTTTATAAAATGGGTTAGTTACATAATCAATGGCTCCAATACTAGTCAAATCAGACTGTTTCAAAGTTGTAGTTAGCTCTTCTCAGGTGCCTATCCCATGCACAAAGCTTTGGGCATGCTACAATTGGTATATTAACAGTATCGGTGTTTTAATTTTTTAGTCGAAAAATCCGACACTCTTAACCACTGTACCACACAAGTTCCCTTAAGAGAGCCTATCCGAAAATCTGCAATTCCTGAAGCGACCCTACTGCCAACACCACACAAAAAACCCCTCAAAATTCGAGGGGCGGCGCTGTTGTTTTAATTTGGCTTTGTACTTTTTGACGTTTCATTTATCGTGCGCTACTACTTCTGCTACGATTGTGTGCTTTTCCGTGTTGTAAGCCGCCTCGGGCGTGGCTTTGACTATGGGAAGGCGGCGCAGAGATCACATCGTGCAGGAGGAAGCGCCGCCTGAGCATGTGCAGAGTACCTAGGCAGCGCCGCTGAAGGGCCATCCAGAGGACATGGCCTGAAGGGAGGAGTTTGAGTGGCGGGAACCAATTGGCGGTGTCTTAATTCTTTTAGCGCCGCCCACCTCCCCTGCCCCACAGTAGGACTCCCCCCCAGGCCACCTGCCTTGGGTCGCGGCTCCCTCCCGTAGGCTCGCGCCCGCAGCTCCTCCTCAACGCGCTTCTCCTGGCAGCAAAGGAGGGCGACTACAGCCCAAGTGACAAGGCCGGGCGGCGGCACAAGCTCGCTCCGCCCACATGCCCGGCGGCGTTGGAAAGCCGGCCTCACGCTGCCCTCGCGAGGAACGTGGCAGCCGTTCGGTCTTCTGGGAAATGTAGTCCGCATGCTCTGAAGCGGCTTCTTTTTACTGTAAAGAGAGAAGAAAGGGGCGGGGCGGTGGAATTTAGCTGCGAGGAAGCTCAGGAAAGGAGAGATATATATATCGGCCTGTTATAAAGGCAGACGGATCTGAAATGTGCCAAGGATGTGTTAGGATAGGAGCCCTCTGCGGAAGTAGAGGCACGTAATGGAAACATACGTGCATGGGGGGGGGGGGGAGATGCAAAGTTATTTATTCTGGCCATGTATATTTATTAGAATTCACAGAGCACCGGGCTGGAGTTTCCTTGGAAACAAAAAAGAAATGCTTTTACGTTCCTTTCACATAAATAAAGTATGTGGTTGACAGCCTGTTCCAAATCGGTTTATTGCATATTTTTAAACAGTTTAATACTGGGGCGCCCCAAACCGATTTTTTGTTCAACTTTTTAAATAATTCTAAAGATGGCATCCAAATACAGGATTCGTAGACCATTCCATAAATTCAGAGGCATAATTTGTAGGTGTGACATAAATGGCACATAATAAACGTGAAACTGCATTATTTTGTGGCGTGGTGCGTGTTAATTAGTGGTAATATTTGTTGCTGCTAGCACATTTGCAAAGCTAAGCAAGGTCTGGTGTGGTTTCAAATTGCATGGGGGACCGTTTGTTGAAATTCCTGCATTGCAGGAGATTGGACTAGATGACTCCCAGCCAGGGTCCCTTCCAACTTTACAAGTCTATGAGCCTATGATTCTATGAGTGGGTAGGTTACGGTACCTAGGCTGAACTTGACATCTCAAGTTGCCTATCCCTAACTCCAAGCCTGCACTTGGGGAGAACTGTTACACTCCCGTCAAGCAAAATATGAAAAATAAACTTCTAGTTTCTTACAGAACTATTACTGTGCTTTAAGGTACCCCTGCCCGTTCGGGCCAGTCTTGCCAGACTCTAGGGTTGTGCGCTCATCTCACTCTATAGGCCGGGAGCCAGCGCTGTCCGCAGACACTTCTGGGTCACGTGGCCAGCGTGACAAGCTGCATCTGGCGAGCCAGCACAGCACAGAGGCCTAAAACATGACCCAATACTCCTATAACTCCTTCTCAACCCTGCACCCCGAAAAAGCCTGCCCTTGAACTTACCACCTCCTTAAAGAGGCAGTAGCATTTGAACAAACGATAAAGAAAAAGCTTAAAACAAACCGTACATTTATGTAAGATTAAGGCAGGCCACAGATTACCTTTCACAAGACCAACTCCTAAATCTCACCTGTATCATTTTACATGTACTCTTCTGTGTGGACCAAAGTGACATCATTAAAAAGTTATTGCTTCCACAAAAGGGGGGGGGTGCAATCACTCAAAACGTGGTGAAACAAAATCCATCCTGCTCACCAATGTTATGACATAAGTAGTGATGGTTTGGCAGTTATACTATGCCAAACGGTACTACTACCTGTTCTCTTGTGGAGCTCTATATTCTTACCGCGTTGTATGAAGAATTATGCAAATGAAAATTATCTTCTACGCTAAAGGTAAAAGGTAAAGGTACCCCTGCCCGTACGGGCCAGTCTTGCCAGACTCTAGGGTTGTGCGCTCATCTCACTCTATAGGCCGGGAGCCAGCGCTGTCCGCAGACACTTCCGGGTCACGTGGCCAGCGTGACAAGCTGCATCTGGCGAGCCAGCGCAGCACACGGAACGCCGTTTACCTTCCCGCTGGTAAGCGGTCCCTATTTATCTACTTGCACCCGAAGGTGCTTTCGAACTGCTAGGTTGGCAAGCACTGGGACCAAACGACGGGAGCGCACCCCGTCACGGGGATTTGAACCGCCGACCTTTCAATCGGCAAGTCCTAGGTGCTGAGGCTTTAACCCACAGCGCCACCCGCGTCCCATATCTTCTACGCTAGCAGTTCCCAAACATTTTGAGTCATGGAGCACTTTTCAGGAGAGAAATTCATCATGGAGCACAATCGTCGCCCTTATGCCAAAGGCACGTATTTAATTATTTTTATTTCCAATCTCTCTGTGGAGCACTTGGAGATGCTTTGTGGAGCACCAAGAAGAAGAAGAAGAGGAGGAGTCTGGATTTGATATCCCGCTTTATCACTACCCTAAGGAGTCTCAAAGCGGCTAACATTCTCCTTTCCCCTCCTCCCCCACAACAAACACTCTGTGAGGTGAGTGAGGCTGAGAGACTTCAAAGAAATGTGACTAGCCCAAGGTCTCCCAGCAGCTGCATGTGGAGGAGCGGAGACGCGAACCCAGTTCTCCAGATTATGAGTCTATCGCTCTTAACTACTACACCACACTGGCTCTCACCAAGTGCTCCCCAGAGCATAGTTGGGAACTGCTGCTCTACAGACAGTGGTGAAACTGCATGCTCCAGCACCTGGGGTGGAGAGCAGGCGGGGGCATGGCTGGCATGCCGCTGGGTGTGTGTGGTGTGTGTCCCGGGGGCGTGGCACGTCGTCCTGGGGGCGTGATGTGCGTCCTGGGGGCATGGCATGCCGCCTGCAGGGGCATGGCGCCCAGCATAGTGGGGGTGCATTGTGCATGTCTGGGGGGCGCCCGCGATGGTACCCCCCTCCCCGATGGTGCTGGGGATGGTGCGTTCCCCCACCCCATCCCGTTCCTCTGCCAGTGTCTACACACACAGCCTTATACAGAAATAGGACTCCTGTGGTCATCTTTATGTTTAGCTCCAGCCAGCACAGTCAGTGATCAGAGATGAGGGCAGCTGAGGTCCCAACAACTTTAGAAAGGCCGCAAGTTATCCATCCATGAGATGGTGCATCATCCATTCTCTAGTGTGACCACCCTTGTGTCACACAGAAAGAGTGCTTTAAAGGTAAGGTGTGGTGTGTCCCACGCCTCAGAAGTTCCACAACTCAGGTGCCACCGCTGAGACTGCGGCATCTTTTTTAGCCACCCACCTAGCCTTAGAAGGCAGGAGCACCTAGAGAAGGGTTTCCAAAGACCTTAATAGGCAAGTTCCTGTGGAAGATTTTTAGGGTGGATCTAGACACAAGTTAAAAACGCTATAAGTCAGAAATTAAATTGTTACAATGAAAGAAAGGGGAAAAAAGCCTACGTAAAAATCCATATAAACTCATTTTTGCTCTCTGGTATTATAACACATTCAAAATGTATTATTGTGACAAATATAGCTGAGTCCCTAATCTTTTTAGTATGGCAATCAACAAATCCAAAATTACCCAGTACGGTGACCCATCAATTTATTGTCACATGAATTTTGGACCTTAGGCAGCCACAGATTTCATGCATTTTAACTGAAAATGTTTGCCTGTTTTATAAGCGTCACTTGCAGCACCCACCCACAAAAAATCTACTTAGCATCCCTATTAATCTGTAATTTGGTGAAGTATTTATACTACTTATAAAGTTGGTTTACAATTTTGTTTATGCAGTGGTTGCTGCTTTAGAGGCAAATATCCATCAAGGAGAGCAATTTGAAAGTACCAATCCCTTCTCTAAATGGAGACAAAAAGATAAAATGCAAAGGTTTTAATTTGTTCAGTAGTTATGCTGAGTGGTATTGTAGTCCTTTCCCCTAATCCTCAACCCCAACCAGCATGGCCAGTGGTGATAGCGGCATGAGGACAAATTCCCCTATCTCTGCTCTAATGTACATCCTCTCCCATTTTCAGTGGCTTGTGCATTGTGAAAAACATCAACTTTGTGTTTAAAAATTCGTGATGCAGTAGTTAGTTGAGGTCCCTGCTGAACAGCAGCAGGATTTTTTACCTCCTAGTTTTATCAGTTTTCTATATGCCAATGTCATATTTTCCCAGAGCTCGCTAGATAGACATGTCCCTAGATACAGTAAATGATGTGGGTGGGGAGACTGCATATGGAAAAGTATAAAAAGGAACTAAAATGGAGTGTCAGCAATTTTGAACTGCGAAATGAGGAAGGTCTTATTCCCAGAGATTATTTCTTAAACACAGTATCTAAACAGGCATCAAATTGCATTTTAAATGCATAGCCCACGCAGGAAAGGTTAGCACTCTGTGAAGGAACCTGTGTGTTTTAATACTGGATAAGGATATATAGCAAGTTTGTTGCTGTGGTTACTCGTTGGCTAAATTTAGAGCTTTTGAAGCGGAGGCTAACCGACAGCCAAGATTTAAAATTTGAGCCATATGTCTTCTGATGGCTGATGGTTTGCCAGCAATCAGCACAGCAGGCAAGTATGCAGATTTTCTTTCTTAAATAAAAGCTTGGATAGAATGTGACATCTCGAGAAATTGCATTTGCCTCAAAAAGGAGTTTTGAATGCAAAATTGAGCACCATTTACGAACGGAACAGAGGCAAAGATTACATCAGTAATAGGCGGGGGCGGGGGGAAGAGACAGGAAAAATGTGGTCAGACTATTTTTCTCTCTTCATCTGAGATCTTCTTCTTCCACCTTAGTGAACTTAGGTGGTCAATAGCTCTGTTGGCTTTGGGTCAAATGTCCCCTGCAAAATTTCCTGAAGTTTTTTTGTTTTTTAAAGACTGAAGTACAATACTAATTGTATCTACTCAGAAGTAGGTCTTGTTGAATTCAGTGGCACCTACGCTCAGGTAAGTGGGGTTAAGATTGCAGCCTAAATCAGAATACTTCTAAAAATAAACATTCCAAACTCAGTTTTGCAACACCAGCTTAAGTAGCCCAGGCTGTAACTCATACACTTTATGCCTAGTTTGAGACGAGGCAGATCCACACTATAATGAAATAACTAATGGAAGTATCATGCAAACAAGAAAAGAAAAGCCACCGGGGCAGAACACTGCTATCAGGATTTTTTACAGTCAGCAAAATGTGTGAAAAGTCTCCAAACAAAAAAGTGCAAAAATGATTTAAGACCCATAACATCCTGCCAAAGAAGTTTTAACCCATGGTCATGAAATTTACAGGGAAAAACCAGCCCCAGGCAGTGGGATAGAACATA